ATATATAGTCATGTAATGGATGAAATTAATTTGTCCTTTTTTCATTAACATATTTTACATATGAAAATGAGAAGCATAACTACCTTAACTGTAGCGATGACGTCAAACACAGGTGACGACGATGCTTATTAAACGATTCCATATTTAGATAAGAGGAAAGTAATATAGATCGAGTAACAAAATATAGGACTGATGATTCAGTTATGTGAAATAAAAAGTGTATTATCTTATTCTGTGCTATCTGGTCAAATGTCCTCATTTTACATCACACACACACACACACATATATATATATATGTGTGTGTGTGTGTGTGTGTGCGTATGTATGTATGTATATACACCGAAATTAATTGCACATGCTGGACTTCATCAGGGTTATTATATGTACATGTGATTATATAAATACACAAGAGAGAAGAGAGAGAGAGGAAGGGGAGAAATGGGAGAAAGAGAGAGGAAGAGAGAAGCGAGAGATAAAGAGGAGAGAGAAAGAGGGCGGGGCTTAGAATGAGAAAGAGAGGAAACTCCAGGTGAGAAACATGATCTTTCTATCTAAAATTTCTTTCCTTTTTACATCAGCAATCCGATCGTATGCTTTACTTGTTTATGCGCGATATAAGTTGAGTTATAAAACACGAGAAGGAAATTAAAGTTGCAAGAAGTCCATGTTAATTTTACTGTATATATTTACAGGTTCTGTGTATGTGAAACGACGTTGTGACTTAAGCAGGTGTGACCAGGGAATTGGCAGCTCGGGCGCGGGCGAGGATGGACTTGACCTCAGCCACGGCGATCGTGTCCTCGACGAGGTCAGTGGCGGCCACCCTGAAACCGGTGAGAGGAGCAGCGGCGTACTTCCTCACCTGGACGTCCCCCTCGGAGTCCATGTAGGCGAAACTGCCGAAGGTTCGGCCCATAAAGTCCCTGGTCTCCACGCGGGTGTTGGGGCCGCCGTAGTGGCCGAAGGAATACTGACCAGCCTCGTCCTGGGCGTGGAATTGGCCTCCCACGTGAGGGACGCTGAGGGAGGGCATGGGGGGTTCAGGGGCCATCAGGGGCTCAGGTGGTGCCACTACAGTGACGGGGACAGCGCTCTTGACCATAGGGGCAATCGGAGCCACAGGGAAGGAGCAGCAGCACTCAGGGACAGGGACAGCAGAGGCCACGACGGCCGTGCTCTTCAGCAGCGGGGCAGCTGGAGCCACTGGGATAGGGACAGCTGGGGCCACAGGGACAGGAACAGCAGAGGACACGACGGCCGCGGTCTTCAGCAGCGGGGCAGCTGGAGCCACAGGGACGGGGCAGCTGGGGCAAGGGACAGGCAGCAGAGGACACGACGGCCGCGGTCTTCAGCCACGGGCAGCTGGAGCCATAGGGACGGGACAGCAGAGGACACGACGCCCGCGGTCTTCAGCAGCGGGGCAGCTGGAGCCACAGGGACAGGGACAGCAGAGGACACGACGGCCGCGGTCTTCAGCAGCGGGGCAGCTGGAGCCACAGGGACGGGGACAGCGCTCTTGACCACGGGGGCAATCGGAGCCACTGGGATAGGGGCAGCAGAGGACACGACGGCCGCGGTCTTCAGCACGGGCAGCTGGAGCCACACAGACAGGGAGCCACTGGCATAGGGGCAGCAGAGGACACGACGGCCGCGGTCTTCAGCAGCGGGGCAGCTGGAGCCACGGGGATGGGGGCGGCGCTCTGGACGAAGGGGACTGGGGCAGCGACGACGGGGCGACGGGGGCGCGGGCGGCGCGCCCGGGGGACGCCCCCGGCTCAGGGATCTTCATCACGGCGGGAGAGTTGGACTGAGCGTAAACCAGGGCGCTTGGAGCTGACATCGCCGGGTACACCTGCGGGGCCGCGCAGCACGAGGCCACCAGCGCTGTCAACACCTGCGTTACGAAGGGCATTAGTTACATTGGGATGAGGATCTTGGTCCGTGACTTGGGCTCGAGTTGTCTCAAGTCGATAGCACATTCATCAGCTTATCAAAATCATTTCTTCTTGCCAAAAATATCTTTCGGACATCGGTGACTGGCACTGTTTATATTCTCTGACTCTTCCAGTGCCAAATATAATTGAAAAGTACTGTTTACGTTCGGGACTCGAGTATCCAAGCTCTATTTACCCAGGAAGATCATGAAAACCTATCTGAATTTCCAGAAAAAAATTGATAAAAGCTAATGTACTGACATTACATAATGTTGTAGTCCACGTACAAGTTTCTATAGTTTCCTTAAAGAACTTAGAATCTATGGCAGCCCCTTCGCCCTCCTGCTAAGCTAGGGTACTTACGAGAATCATCATGTTGCGGTCGAGGACGATGTGGCGGCTGGCAGAAGAGACGGTTCTTATATACCCGCTCATCCTCAGCCACGCCCTCGTCCTCTCAGCAACACGCGGCCAGAGTCAGATCCCGTGGTCAGTTTTTTTTTTTTTTTTTTTTTTTTTTTTTTTTATCTTGCCATCAAAGCACTGCAGGTTTTACTGGGTCGAA